CATCGGCGACTCGATGAGCTTCGTGCAGAGCAACGTGGACACGCGGACCGTCACGCTGGCCTTCGTGCTCCATACGCACCGCAGCAAGACGCCGCGGCGCGCTTGGTCTTGTTGAGCTCTTGGAACTGAACCGCGATGCCGAGGCCGCAGAGCACGACGGTGCCTGCGAGGTAATACCACCACGAGCTCGGGATGTGGTAGATCCAGTCGCCGTTGGCAAACGTCTTTTGGAGATACGCTGCGTTCGGGTACCCGCCGGCGAAGAAGCCAATGCCCCAGACCGCGCCAATGGCGCCAAAGCAGCTCGACGCAAACACCAGAAACGGACGCTCGAGCTTGAGCGCGACGAGGCCAAGACCGAGGCCGAGCACCACGAGCAGCACGAGTAGCACCGTGTTGGGGCTCGACGGGTAGATCAAATACCCAAACGAGTTGTGAATTTGGGTTGCGAGCAGGACGCCAGCGAGCGCACCGACGCAAAAGATACCGAGCTTGTAGAGCCAGAGCACAAAGCTACCAACGAGGAAGCCGCCGACAAAGAACGCGATCCAGCACGCCGTGTCAATGTACGACGCATTGGCAAAGAGGCGCTCGGCGAGGAGGAAAAAGCCCACGGACCCGAGCGTGAAGCCGGCGAGAAAGATTGTGGGCCGCACAAGCTTGTAGCCAACGAAGGTCGCGAGGAGGCCCGCGCCAATCGCGACGCCGGCGACGATCTCGGGCCCGAGCCCAAGGCTGGCAAAGTCGTCGCCGGTCCAGTGCAGGATCTTGTTGACTTGGTTGTCGAACGTGCTGTTGCCGCCGACGCTGAGGCTCGACGCGACGTGGAGAAAGAACGGCAGCAGTAGCAGCGAACGCGGTACGAGTGTCGAGGCCATGCTCATTTGCGGAATGCACTGCAATGTGGAGCCGCGCGTCGCGTGTCCAACGGCTCCAAGTGGCCGCTGGCGTCAAACTTTTCGCCCATTACTGCGGACATGGGTGCCAATTGAGTTTGAGTTTGAGTGGCATCCGCCAATCGGCGCGCGCGATGCACGCGGTTGAGAAAAGGAATGTTGGTCGATCGACATGACCTGTCCAACAGCTCTGTCCGGCCTTCGATTGGCACGTTCAAGAATACTACTTGTGAGCCACAGGTCCAACTATGTTCACGAATATAAAGCCAAGCTAAGGTATAAAGCCAGGCTTCGGTGCATGGAGCCGTCCTTCTCA